AAACGACTCGACGGCGCTTAACAACAACAACAACAGGTGAGAAAGGCTTAGGATCCATTCTTTGGCTCTACACCAGCTTTCTTCTCTCCCCTCCTCACTTTCTTGGGTGAATGAGGGAGGAGAAGTGGTGTAAAGGGGATGGATGTCAGCTTCCTTTTATCTTCACTTTCAGATCTACCCGAAGTGGCATCCATCCTTTATTACTGTTTTCCTTCTTTCTCAGACATTGTGGTTTACCTTCTTTACTCAGACTAATCCTTTATCTAGTTTATATGTCACTCATCCCATCTTATTTATCTCTAAACCTGCCACTTTCTTCAGACTTCTTTTCTTCGATCTACAAATACCCTTGAGGCCCTATCCTAAAACAAAGCAAAACAAACAATAAAAATTCTTTCCCTTGGCTTCTCTTCCCAACCCCAGCTTCTTTTAAGCTATCGTTCTTCCCCACATTACTCGACTTCCTGAAAGTGTATCTTACATCTTGTATCTTATTCTTATAAGAAACTCTGATAGTGCAATGGTTAAACCGTTTGACTGCTACCAGAAGGTTGGCAGTTCAAATCCACCAAACACTCAGTGGGAGAAAGGTTAGGAAGTCTGCTTCCATAAAGATTTATAGCCTTGGATACTGGATGGGCAGTTCTATTTTGTTGTACAGGGTTGGTAGGAGTTGGAATAGACTCGTTGGCAGTGGGTTTTGTTTTGTTTTGGTATATCTTACTCTTTATACATTCTTTAACCAACTGCTTTGCTAAGTTTATCAAAGGCTTGATTGCTAAAACCAGTGGACCATTTTCAGTCTTCATTCTTGATCATTCTGTAGCACTATATACTATGGGCAACCTCCAGTTTCTTAGAACTTCCTTTCCTTGATTTCTAGATTGTTACTTCTTAGATTTCTCCTTTCATGTCTGACTATCTTCATGGTCTTCGTTAAAGACTGCCCTCCTTTGCTTTCCTAAATCTAATTTTCTTTAGGATTTCACTCTTAGCTCCCTTCGTGAGCTGCTGTCTCCTTGGTTGATTCCACTGATTTCCATTGCTTCATCTACCACCTATATGCTGTGTTGTTGTTGTTATGCCATCGAGTTGTCTGCTACTCATAGCGACCCCTCCTTGGGTTTCCGAGGTGGTATCATTACGGGAGTAGATTACCCAACCTTCCTTCCGAGGAGTGACTGGTGGGTTTGAACCGCCAGCCTTCTGGTTAGCAGTCAAGTGCCTTAGTCACTATGCTACCAGAGCTCCTTCCTATATGCTGTAACTCCACCAAATTTCTCTCTAGTCTCAGTTATCCTCTTAAGCTCAAATATGATGTTTCTTTTTGTTTGTGGACATCATGGATATCCTGTAGGTGTCTCAAATACTTAAGATAATTAAAACTATACTCATCTCTTTCCTAAAACACAGTTCCCCTTTTTATGTTAAAATAATATCCCTTGTTAATCTGTTAATGGCATTATCTTCTACTGAATCGCCTATATTTTATATTAGGGTCTTTTCTCATCTTCCACATTCAGTGGTCAGGTAGTGGTCAGTGCTTCTACCTTATGGTTAAGAACATGGATTCTAGGGGCAAATTGTCTGCATTTGCATCCTAGCTCTGCCACTTTCTAGCTGGGTAACTTTGGGGGATTTAACTTCTTTGGGCTTTGATTTCCTTGTGTGGATAGGATTTTTATGAGGCTTAAATGAACTACCACAGGTAATACTTCTAACGGAGCCTGCTACATAGTAACTGCTCCACATATTTTAGCTATTATTGACTCAGCATTTGTAGGCACTGGGTTAGAACTAGGAGCTCTGGTAGAGTGGTTCCTAAGGTGTTTGACTGCTAACCAGAAGGCTGGTGGTTCAAACCTACCAGCCACTCCTTGGGTGGTTCAAACCCACCAGCCCCTCTTCAGAAGGAAGACTGGGCAATCTACTTCCGTAGAGATACTGCCTTGGAAACCCAAGGAAGGGTCGCTATGAGTTGGATTTGACTCGATGGCAGTAAGTTTGGGTTTTGGTTTTTTAGGTTAGAACTAAGATTTCAAAGAAAAATATTGGATGTGATCCCTTTTGTCAAGGAGTTTGTTATTTATTGTTAGAGACATTACAAGTATACATACTTTCAGTATCATATGAGATGTGCTAATATAGAGGTCAATGTCAGATTTATCTTCTCTGATCTTGCTCCTTCTGCTTTAGTTCATGCCATCCTTTTTTTTTTCTCGTAAAGACAACTGAAACAGCTTTTTAAAATTGTCCACTGCTATCTATCTCTGTTCCACCTTAAATTGCTTTCTGGCATATTTTAAGAGACAAATCTGATCTTGCCGTTTCCTTGTTTAAAAACCTCTTTTGTCTCCTTATTCAAACTCCTTACCATGATATTCAGTGTTGTTTATAACCTTCTCCCCTATTTGCCCTTCAACTTATTACTGTGCCTCTCTTCTCTAAATAGTCTGTGATTAAGCCACACTGAACTCTTGCAACTGTTCTTCAAATTTGTCATGCTCTTTCACAGTGCCATATTTTTGTATATACTGTTTTTAATATGAAGGAGGCCTTTTGCTCTATCTATTAATAAAGGAACTGTATTTATATATCAGAGCAGATTAATAGTGAGATACGTGATCAGTTAAAAAAAAAAAACCCAAACAAACCCAAACCAAACTCATTGCTGTCGATTCGATTCATAGTGACCCCTCCTTGGGTTTCTGAGGTGGTATCTCTATGGAAGTTGATTACCCAGTCTTCCTTCTGAGGAGTGGCTGATGGTTTTAAACTGCCAGACTTCTGGTTAGCAGTCAGATGCCTTAGGTACTATGCCACCAGAGCTCCCAAGTGGTCAGTATCTCATTATTAAAAATAGAAGTCAAATATTCTCTCCTTTGTGGAACCTTCTTGTAGTACCCCAGGCAGAATTAATTGCTTTCCTTTGTGCTGCTGTGACACTTTTGTACATTTCTCTATTTATAATATTTATTGGAGTTTATGTTTATGCCTTCACCTCCCATCTGTTTTTATTTATCTTTGTATTTTCACTGCTTAATTCACACAGTGCCCAGTGTGTGTCAGTGACTGAACCTTGCTTGCTCTTTGGGACTGGTCCCTCCCCTTATAAGACTATCTCCTGTCTTACTAGAGGTTTACTTAAGTATAGTTGCTACCCTCCTTTTGAGTGGTAAGCTGACAATGGTGAGAGAGTATTGAGATGAAAGAAAATGATGGCTTATATAATCCAAGGGCAAAACGTGGGGCTGGTGGCAGGCCTTTATGTTCCTTCAGCTCTAGCTGAGTGTAAAGAGGAAGAACAACTGAACCACACCTTTCCTCTGGAGTTTTTATGTGAGAAAGAGACAATACTGATGAGGGAATGGTGGGTGGGATGGCAAAGGAACTATGGGCCATAGCCAGGGTGAATAGGTATTTAAGTACTTTTCCCATGGTAGGAACCAGCCATCTTGGGTATTCTTTTCTAAGGGTACTGTATCATATCTTGAGAGTGAGTGTTGGGTATGTCTGACAGGATTAGGAGATGTATTTGTATATGAGAATGTCTGTGTGTTTCTTGCTAAAATGAAAATAGCTCTGCTCTTCTGGGTGGCTCCAGGTTTCTACCTTTTAAGAGTATTCAGCTATTTAAGGGTCTATTTGCCCAGCTCCCTGAGGCTTTTGGATGGGTTCTTATGGAGGGAACAGCAATAGGCAGGAGAAAAAAAAAAAAAAAAAAATTCTTCCTCAATAGTCCCAGAGGGCTGGAGTCAGGTCAGGACTGTGTTTTCTTAGTTGTTTATTTGTTCATTCATTTGTTCTCTTATACATTCACTTAAGCATTCGTACATGCAGCAGATACTTACTGACCCTCTAGGTACTGCTCCAGGTACTGGAGATAAAACAGTTAATAAGATAGACAAATCCTGACCTCGGAGAGCTTACTTGTATTCTAGTGGGGAAGAGAGACAAAGAAACAAGCAAATAATCTCAACTAGTGAAAACTGCTAGTGAAGTAGAATTTAGAGGCTGGAGATGGAGAGTAAAGGTGGAAAGATATTCTACTTAGATAGAATTGTTAAGTAAAGCCTCTCCGAGGAGATGACATTTGAAAAGAACTAAATGATATGAGCAGTTTGAAGATCAGGAGAAGAGCATTCCAGGCAGAGAGAGGGAATAGAATATTCAAGAAGGGAATGTGACTTAAGTATGAGTGACAAGGAGGATGATGGGAGAACATAGTCAAAGATTGCAACTGTTTTCTCAAATTCATCTACATGTTATGTAGAGTCCTATAGGCCAAGATTAGGAGCTCTGGTAGCATAGTGGCTAAGTCACTTGCCTGCTAACCAGACGACTGGCAGTTCAAACCCACCAGCCACTCCTCGGAAGGAAGGTTGGGCAATCCTACTTCCGTAGTGATACTGCCTCGGAAACCCAAGGAGGGGTCGCTATGAGTCGGGGCCGACTCGACGGCACACAACAACAACAACAACACAGGCCAAGATTAGAAATACGGATTATTACTAGTGTAATAGGAAATCATTGGAGGGTAGTATTCAGCAGGGGAGAGATGCAGTTCTGATTTTAAAAAATGTCACTGGTTGCTGTGTAGAGAATGGATTCTCAGAGGGGCAAAGATGGAAACAGGGAGACCAGATTGGGAACTGTTAGAATAGTGAAGCATTTTTTTTGGGGGTGGAAATGATATGGTTTGCTAATGACCTAGGTATTTGGGGTGATGAAGAAATGAGGGTGATGTTGAAGTTTTTGGTCTGAACAGGTAGGTGAATGTTAGTATCATTATTGAGATGGAGAAAGCTGGGGAGATTTGGTGGTAGAAATCATTAGTTCCATCTTAAGTTTGAGGTGCTGACTAAATATACAAGTGGGTTGTGTATGTGTGTATGTGTGCATAAATTTTCAGTATAATAGTGGTTCTGAGTCTCTTACTACTGGGGAATGGAGAAAAGCTAACTTCCGTTTATCCTTTCTGTTCTCTTTCTTTGAATTAGATTTGTATTCTGGACTGGGAGTGACCTGTGGTGTCTCCACTCCAGCCTGGTATATCCCTTGGTTCCATGGCCAGCTACTGGCTCTTGCAGACCGGATGAAGCAGACCGGAGACACAAGTGGAGAAAGCCTCCAGCTGGCACATCCCCAGAGTGTGGACCGGCCGCTGGCTCTGCCCAGCCTGCCTCATGGAGAGGATGAATTGGCTGAGCAGATTGGCCTCCCGAGGCCCTGGGCAGCGTGTACCTCAAGGGACCAGTCTGCAGACCCCTGTCATGGCTGATCCTGAGACCTGCCTCATGGTCTTCAAGAATCACTGGTCCCAGGTAGGAGATTGTAAGCCATAGGGCTGGTCCACTGGCTGCCTGTGTCTTCCTAACTTTCTGCATTCTCTGACCATCCCATTCAGTCACTTTATCATCTTAGATTCCTTCCATCTTTTGCCCTTTTTCCCTAGGTGGTGCGAATTCTGGAGCGACGAGGCTCTCGGGCAGCTCCTGGGGGTGCAGATGATCTCAGTGCTGTGTGCAACCACACTTACCAGATGTTGACACTATTGGCAGAGGATCGAGCAGTGCCCTCGGCCCCCACAGTCCCTGGGCCCCTGCTGGAGTTTGCTCTGCGTGAGGATCTGCTGACCCGTGTATTGGCATGGCAGCTGCAATGGGATGAGTTTGGAGATGGGGTTGAGGAACGGCGAGCTGAGCAGCTGAAACTGTTTGAGATGCTAGTGAGTGAAGCTCGCCAGCCACTGTTGCGGCATGGTCCAGTTCGAGAGGCTCTGTTGATCCTGTTGGATGCCTGTGGCCACCCTGTGCCTAGTAGCCCAGCATTGGATGAAGGCCTGGTGCTACTTCTCAGCCAGTTATGTGTGTGTGTGGCCCGGGAGCCTTCATTGCTTGAGTTCTTCCTGCAGCCACCTCCTGAGCCTGGAGCCGCCCCCCGCCTTCTTCTCTTTTCTCGCCTTGTTCCCTTTGTCCATCGAGAGGGCACGCTGGGCCAGCAGGCCCGTGATGCCCTACTGCTCCTTATGGCACTGTCAGCTGGGAGCCCTACTGTGGGCAGCTACATCGCGGATCACTCTTACTTCTGCCCGGTCAGCATCCCCTGGGATGTGGATGGGTGGGTGGGGTATCCTACCTAGGAGAGAGAGAGAGGGGTATGTACCAGGGACCTCTCCTCCAGGAAATAGCCCTCTGGGTTTGAGGAAGTTGAGGTGGGGATGAGACATGGGCTTAAGTGAATGAAGCTGGTGCTAAGGCTCTTTGTGGGCCAGTGTTCACAGGTGATGTCCTGGCACATTGGGTAGCTAAATACCCAATGTAATATTCTGTACTGATAATATTTCTTCCTACTCCTATCTGGGGGGAGCTCTGGTAGCATAGCGGCTAAGACACTTGCCTGCTAACCAGACAGCTGGCGGTTCAAACCCACCAGCCACTCCTCGGAAGGAAGGTTGGGCAATCCTACTTCTGTAGTGATACTGCCTCGGAAACCCAAGGAGGGGTCGCTACGAGTCGGCTTTGACTCGACGGCACATAACAACAACAACAACAACTCCTATCTGAACTCTGGATTAAGAGCTCCCCTGTTCTGCCTTTTTATATTGTCTGAGCTTTTATTAACCTGTTGGGGATGTTCCCTAGGTGCTGGCCACAGGACTGAGTGCCCTGTACTCCTCACTGCCTCGAAAGATTGAGGTTCCAGGGGATGATTGGCACTGCCTACGACGAGAGGATTGGCTGGGAGTGCCAGCTCTTGCACTCTTCATGAGCTCCCTAGAGTTCTGCAATGCAGTCATTCAGGTAGGTCTGCTGTTCCCTGGAGGTCATCTTGGGAAGATGGGCTAAGAGAGGGTACATTCCCTGGCGTTCTGTTATTTTGCAGTATTGGCCATAGGGCATCTCCCTGTATTGTACCATTTTATTCCCTTCCAGACAGTGGTTCCCTGCACAGTCCTCCTTCCTCTGTCTCGCACCCCTACAGGTGGCTCACCCCCTGGTGCAGAAGCAGCTGGTCGATTATATCCATAATGGGTTCCTGGTGCCTGTCATGGGCCCTGCCCTGCACAAGGTGAGAGTCATAGGTGGCAAGGCAGATTAGGGGATAGGCTAAGAGATGGTAACCTTAGTGTCAGGATCAATGTGGGAGGCAGTGGTCTGGGTCTTTATATTTTCCCTCTCTGCTCCTGGTTCTTCCTTAGGCTAACTCAGGGGAAATGAGCCTCTGCTCAGTATTTGTGCAGGGAAGCCCTAAATTTCCAAACTTTCCCTTCCCATTCCTTCCTCCAGACCTCTGTGGAGGAGATGATTGCCAGTACCGCCTATCTGGAACTTTTCCTACGGAGTATCTCCGAGCCTGCCTTGCTCCGTACCTTCCTGCGGTTCCTGCTATTACACCGGCACGACACACACACCATCCTTGACACCCTCGTTGCGCGTATTGGCAGCAACTCCCGGGTATGGCTCCTACCTTTGTCCTGGCTTACCTGGGTGAGCCATCTTGTCTCTCTGACCTGTGTTCTGGGAGGGTGTTCTTCCCCTTTTTCTTTGGCCTCTGTCTCCAGCAATTACTTCAAAATTAGTGGCATTGAACTTTTAACTATTTGAATACAGATTTTAGTCTACTCCCCTGCTTTTATAAAACGTGGATCTAAAACAGTGACCTTTTCTGGATGACTTTGGCTGTTTATCATGATGATAGATTTCTCCATTGTGCTTTGCTTGTATTGTAGCATTGGCCTGAGGTTCTCCAGCTGTTTATGGCCCTCTGGCCTTTTTTGGGTCATTCAAGACCACTTCTTTAAGTTTCATGTCTGCTTTGATAGATGTTCCAGCAGCTACTGCTATACTCACCTTTTATCTCCTTTGGATTTACTGTATTTGAGGTGCTATGATTTGGGACACTCACCCACCCACCTACTCATCTACATTTCTTAATTCTGAACATTTTTGTTAAGTAGTTACTATGGGCAGTACTGTTTGCTGGTGTTGGGGATGTAATGATGAGCAGGATGGATGTGGTTTCTGACTTCATAGAGCTTACTTTTTAGTGGAGGAAGACAAACAGATACTAATAAAATAATTAAAAGTTACTTAAAAATTATTTTAAGCACAAGGTGCTTAGGAAATAATAGGGAAGGTGGTCAAGGAAGACCTCTCTGAGGAAGTGATACTGAGCTAAGACCTAAAGGTCATGAAGGAGTTAACTATTGAAGAACAAGTGGAAGAATAATTTAGGCAGAGGGAACAACATTTAAAGAACATCAAATGGGGAAGAGTTTAAAGAGTTTCCAAGTAATAAAGCTCTGGAGGCTTTCCAAGGGAATAAAGCATGATTTTTAGCCATAGATGTTCTGGTATCTCTTGGCCTTTGTGGCTGTTTTTATTTTCTTCCTTTATTTCAAATGATTGAAGTCCCTGGGTCTTTGTGTCTGAAATAGGAAAGGTTCTTGGATCACTAAGGGTTCTGGAAAACTTCTAGGTAACTGGGGCACATGGAAGTGCAGTCCTGGGTATGTGAGGTTCTTGGATAGCTATGTTTTATGTAGGTGGGGTTTCTGAATAAATTTGAGTATACATGAGATAGGAGCTCTGGTAACACTGTGGTTAAAAGCATTGGGCTGCTTAATCAAAAGGTTGGCAGTTCGAACCCACCAGCTGCTCCATGCGAGAAAAATGAGGCAGTCAGCTTTTGTAATGATTTACAGCCTTGAAAACCCTGTGGGACAGTTCTGCTCAGTCCTGTAGGGTTGCTAGGAGTTGGAATCAATTTGATGGCGGTGGGTTTAGTTTTTCTTTTTAATGTGTGGGATACTACAGACTGACTAATGAGACTAGTGTTTCTGAACAAGGTGTGTACTTCAGAATCATGGAGCTTTGATGATGGCAGCTATAGCAATAACAGATTCTAAACTATTCCTTGGATTTCTTGAATTATTATAATCTCTAGGAATAGGCCCAGGGAATGTACATTTTTAAATGTTCCAAAAAGTAATGATACATGTTTTGGGTTAAGAGTTACTATATAAGCCAATAGGTTTGTATTACTAATATAAGCCAATATCTTACAAATATAGAAAAGTTTTATTTCTATTATGTTGAAGTTAGGCCATGGATTTGTATCTATTTTACCTCATGGGATGTCCCGTTCATTTTTGGAGATAGTTGGTTTCCTTCTTGAGGATTTTTTTCTGTGCTGAGCTCTCTGTCTTCCTTTTGTTTTAATCTTATCCTAACTGTGATTCCCTTCAGTTTTCCTTTAGTCCTTAGCACTTCTATTAATCTCCCTTTTGTCTTCTGGTCTCAGGAGCCCTTTACATTCTTGGGATGTTTCTTCCTGGTTCTTGAGTCTTAGAGGAGCCAGATTTCTTCTGATTTCTGGATGCCCATGTTAAACACGTAATGCTTTGCTTTCTACTATTTAGCCCTTTCAAGTGTAATTCTGTTGGTCTGACTTTCACTGACTGAGGTAGCTTACCTTTTGTGCTTTGAAGTGAATCATGCCATCTAGCTGGCCTATGTGCCTGTCTATATTAGTTTCCTGTTGCTGCCAAAAAAATGATCACAAACTTGGTGTCTTACAACAACACAGATAAGTTACCTTTCAATCTGTAGGTTATGAGTCTGATATGGGTCACCCCGGTGACAACAAGGTGTTGGCAGGGCTGCATCCTTTGTTGGAGGTTCTGGGAGAGGATCAGTGTCTTTTATTTATTTATTTTTTAGTTGTGATTTGGGTGAAGATTCACAGAGCAAATTCACTTTCCATACAGCAGTTCACATACACTTTGTCTCATGACATCAACTACAATTTACACAATGCAACAGCTCCCCTCCCACTTCCTCCCAATAATTACCTCTTCCCTGTGTCCATCCCTCCATGCCCTCCTGCCCCCTGAGCTGTCTCCTGGTGCATAAGCAGCCCTTCTTTCTCCCATGATTGTTCTCTCCAAGGAGTGTATCTACCTCAGGTAAATGTTCACTGCATATGCCTGTCTTTTGCTTGGCTGGAAGCCACAGGTGTGGGTTCAGTTCCAGACCTGATAGGCAGCTAGGGGCCATAGTCTCAGTGGTTCCACCAGGCTCTATCAGACCAGCAAACCTGGTCTCCCCCACCCCCTTTTTTTTCTCCAAATGATTTTGAGTTTTGTCCACATTATTCTCCTTCTCTATCCAGGATCTCTTACATAGATCCCCTTCTAAGTAGTTGACATTGGTAGCCAGGCACCATCTAGTTCTTCTGGTCTCATAGTTGTATAGGCTGCAGATTGGATGGTGTACCAGTCGCTAGGACTGATTGTATGGGAGAGGATCAGTTTCCTTCCTCATTTTGGTTATTGGCAGAATTCAGTTCCTGTGGGTGTAGGATTGAGATATCTTATTTTTTTTCTGGCCATCAGCTCAGAGTCATTCCTGGCTTTGAGAGGCCAGCCACATTCCTTGACTTGTGGCCTTTTCTGTCTTCAGAGCCAGCACAGTGATTGAGTCCCTCTCATGCTTCAAATCTGTCTTCTGAGAAAGGCTTTCTGATTGTAAGGATTTATGTGATACTATTTCGTCCACTCCAATAATCCAGGATAATCCTCCTATCTCAAATTCTATAACCTTGATCACATTTATAAAGTCCCCTTTGCCCTGTAACATTCACAGATTCTGGAGATTAGGATGTAGACATTTGTGGGGACATTATTCTGTCTACCACAGTGTCTTTCTATGAATCTTGAGTAATTTCATTGCTAGTTAAAGTGATCAATTTGGATAAGCTTCCTGAATGTCCATGCTCTTCAAAATGCATACTACTATTTCATTTCTTTCTCACTGTGTGGTTGGCTTTAAATCATCCCAGTCATTTAGCAAATGATGAATACCTAGACTATGCCAGATAGTGTTCCAGACTAAGATCCAGTGGATCTATTCTTCACTTTACCAACCTGGTTAGGTTCCAAAGACCAGGTCAGTTATGCAAAAACAAGCATTATGTGAAACTTCAGCAACCAAATGCTTCTCAGGCTCCAGGAATCATTTTGGAGGTAGCTCTGTGGGCCTGCTTCCTCCCCTGTAGTTGCAGGTCCATACAGCTCCCTTGTCTCTGTGCCATGCCATGACTTCTGTATTTTGGGCAGGTGAGTTGGCTTATGTCATTTCAAAGCACAGGCAGAGCTGGTTAGGTCAGAATTTGTAGTCAGTGGGGGACCCACCCTAACCTGACCCATGTCTTACCCTGACCCATGTGGAGTTCTTGCTTTCCATGTAAATGCCCAAGACGGCTGCCCACTAAGCATGCAAGGCAGATCTTGGGGTCTGTGGAAAGCAACAACTACACATCCTACCTGTGCTGTGCTGCAGCCTTGCAGACTCTTGAACAACCTGAAGGCATAGGTCCACTCATAGGCAGTGGAGCCACCAGCCTTCATGCCTGGTGGGGATTTGGCAAGGCCATGTGGCATGTGTGCAGGTTAATGACCTGAGGCCCTGGTGTCCAGCCTTCCCCCCCCCCCTTTACCTTTATTAGCATCCAAGACTGGGTAGGGGGGTGAGATGGGAGGGTTGAAGAACTTGGGGCTTAGCAGGGAAGTACTCTCTCACTCAAAACACATGGGTCCTTACCTGACCTTAAGGTGATTTATGTAGATTTTTCATTATTGTCATAATTGCAAAATGTCAGATAACGAAGATAGTTGATAAGTGAGGAGTAAGTATAGTTGTCTTCAGGCAGCTTAAGGTGTCTGACATACTTGCCACAAAGGGAGTACACAAGAAGTGCTATATTCAGAGGAGCTAAGCTTTTATGTGTCTGTTCTCCTGGCCTAGCCAGAGAGGAACAACCCTTCTTTTTCTAAAACAAAAGATTTCCCCTGCTTTAGACCCTCCTACTTCTTCCTTATCCTGTCAGCTGCCTTTGAGCTTTTCTTTATCCTACCTTCTGAGAGATACTGGTGTTGGAGAGTGACTCAGACTCCTTGTTCACAGCCCCACCCACTTCCCAGCTGTGATTCTTTCAGTTTCCCTCTGGTTTCTTGTTGATAGGCATGCAGTTACTATGCAGCCATAGTCCTTGCTGTTATCTCCTGTTAGCCTCCTCCTCAGAATCTCTTTTGATGGGTATTCTTCCACCTAAATATTGCTGGAGTCTCTGCTGACAGGTATATATTACCAGAGGATCTGCTAACATAGGTATGGTCTGTTGAAATATACTGACTCTGACACATGGTTCATTCCTATCTGTGAATAGTGAAGTCTTGACCACAAAAATCATGTGATCATTTATTAATATTTGAATGACTGTTATGCGCCTCACCCTGTGCATATTTTTCTAGGAGTGTGGCTGGGGGCTTCCCATTTGGTAAACAAGCTTAGAGTGTAGAGAGCTCTTTTGGTGACTCCCTCTATCATTCCCCACCTGTAGCTCTGCATGGTCTCTCTGAGTCTCTTCAGGACCCTACTGAACCTCAGCTGTGAGGATGTCCTGCTGCAGCTGGTTCTCAGGTACCTGTGGGGACAAAACTGGGGTTGACTGAACCTGAACCCTCAGAGCCCTCAGAGCCTTGTGCATTTATGGGCCTGTGGGCTCTATTGGAGTTATTCGTGTGTTCCCTCTTGGAGCCTGGCTTACCCATATAGTTCCATTTGACCTCCTGATATTCTCCTAGGCCCTGTCTTCCTTCCTGATTCATCTGTGTCCTCTTCTACTGTCTTTCCCAGGTATCTTGTGCCATGTAACCACGTGATGTTGAGCCAGAAGCCAGCTGTGCGTGACGTGGACCTGTATGGACGAGCAGCTGACAAGTTTCTCTCCCTAATCCCACGCTGTTGCCGGCACCATGCCCCTAGCCCACCCCGTCCAGAGCATGCCTCGTGGGCACGAGGTGGGCCTTGCAGAGAGACAGGAAGAAGGGAGGACACTTTGGGTATGGCCTGGAGAAGCATAGCAAGAAGGCGGGTTGGGGTGAGGGGACGGAGGTGGCTGTGAGTAGGATTCTAACTTTGGGGAGATTGATGAGGGATCTTCCAGAGTGGATCTTTAACTCCACGAAGAAATTCAGAGTAGAACTTCTGGGTAGAGCTGTTCCTGTTCTTCATTCCAGTCCTGTCCTCTTCCTGTTTCCGTTGTTTCTTTGGTGTTGGTGATTGTGAGAGGGGTGAAGAAAAGGTTAATCTGGAAGATAAGAGTCAGCTGTCTGAATTGGTCTTGTGTTTCTGCCCCCTTTCTCTCTCTGTCTCCCTAAATGCCCCATCCTTTCTGGCCCTTTGTCTCTTTGAGCCCTCTTATATTTTTTTCCCTTTGCAGGCCCTGGAAGCCCAAGTGTTGATTCTTCTTCTGTGGTGACAGTGCCCCGGCCCTCTACACCATCTCGTCTGGCCCTCTTCTTGCGGCAGCAGAGTCTGGGTAGCTCTGAGCCCCCAGGCCCAGCCCCTCGTTCCCCAGGGCTTGCTGCATCCCCAGTCTCCAGTCCTGGCCGACGGCCCAGCCCTGCAGAGGAGCCTGGTGAGCTGGAAGACAATTACCTGGAATATCTCCGTGAGGCACGTCGTGGTGTAGACTGCTGTGTCCGAGCCTGCCGTACCTGGTCTGCCCCCTATGATGGCGAGAGGCCCCCTCCTGAGCCCAGTCCTGTTGGCTCCCGGACTAAGAAACGCAGCCTACTGCATGAGGAGGACAGGGACAATGCGGGGGAAGGGGAGGAGGAAGAGTTGGGGAGTGGGGGTGGAGGGGAGGGCCCTGGCCACTTGCCCCCTCCCCAACTCAATGGGGTACCAGGACCATGGCCAGAGGGGGCCAAGAAGGTTCGTCGGGTGCCAGAGGAAGGAGCTGGGGAACTGCTAGTGGATACCTCTGAGGGCATGGCAGGACTAGAGGGCTTTGGGCAGGAGCTCCGGGAGCTGGAGGTGGCATTGAGCAATGGAGGGGCTAGCTCAGAGCCCCCCCTAGAGCCTCCACTACCTCTTGAGGAGGAGGAGGCCTACGAGAGCTTCAGCTGTCCCCCTGAGCCCCCTGGCCCCTTCCTCAGCAGCCCTTTGCGGACTCTCAACCAGCTGCCAAGCCAGCCCTTTACTGGTAAGCTACTTGACCTAGGTCATCGTCTTTGTGTATCTCTGCATGTTCTTGACATGTTTGTGCTGATACCTGAGGCTTCTTGGTCCATGTCATTTGTGTCCTTACCTAGCCCTTCATCCATTCTGCTTGAGTAGCTTCCAGATACATGCCATGTCATCTGTACCTGTCTGTGTGTCTTCCATGCTTGTGCTGATTTGAGTATTGACTTCTGTCTGAGCCTTGTTTGTCCATCCTATGTGCATGTTCCTCCTTTTCCTCCAGTCTGGCCATTTCCTGTGATTTGTGCTCAGGATATTCTGTGTTTGGTGTCTCTTGGTGAATCATAGCAATGTGAGCCGTATGGAAGGCATTATGTGCCATCTCGTGTGCGAGTCACTTGGATCCCTCTGTTTCATGTTGGGGGTCATGTGGTTTACACCAGAATATCTGCCTGGGTGTTGGGTCTCCTGTCAGCTGTCCTGTGATCCCAAGGTCTGCTCTTCTGGTGTTCTTTCTTTCCCCTGATCTTCCCTCAGCTCCTTCCTCTCTTCTTTAAAGAAATTCAAGTTTCTTCTACCCCTCTCCCTGCCCCCATCCTTGTACCTTGTTGTCATGACTACTGTGAGACTTACTTAGAGATTTATGGATAGTAATAAGGATTGAAACAGACAAGATAAAATAACTTTTTCAGAGCAAGTGACAAAGTGTGGCTATGTGTTCCCCAGCTGAGTTTCTCTGGATGCTCTAGGATGCCGATGGAGCTCCTCTTTGTTTTTACTTAAGAGCCAGCCCTATCTAGTCCAATCCTTATCCTGCTCTTATCTTCACTCCCCACCCTATACCAGGGAAAAAACAAAACTATGCCAAAACAAAAAAAATGCACGCTTCTAGGAAGATGTGCTAAGATCTCAGGCTTTGGATTAGACATACCTTGAGTTAGCAACCCATTTCTGACATTGATGCATGTAAACTGCTAGGCACAATGCTGACACACTGTGAGAATTCAGCAACGGTAGCTTTTCACTAAGAGGTAGTTTTCATTAAGATTATCAATTCTTGATGCATGGCAGATTTCAGTTGATTGAGCCAACCACACCCATCTTCTAGCTGTTTGTAGTCAAGTTGTCCTACTTTGATCAGTACATGTCCTGATTGGTCCTGGGATAGGCTGCCTATCCTGCTTGCTTGCACAGTATCAGGGCTTCTTCCATGGAGTCATGCAAACTCCCTGTTCTTGCAGACTATAGAAAATGCATCTTTCCGTTTATTTACTGTATGCTTGTTTGTTCCTACTCAGTACCACCAGAAGGTGGTGTGCAGATTTTACCACAGTTTGGAAGCATTAACTGCAGCTTCTGTGCTTTTTCCTTTTGGTGAGCTTATTTGATGGGAGCCCTGGTGGCACAGTGGTTAAACTTTTGGCTGTTAACTGGCCCTGGTGGAAGTTCAAACCCACAACTACTCCATGGGGGAAAGATATGGCAATCTGCTTCCATTAAAGATAATGGCTGTGGAAACCCTATGGGCAGTTCTGCTCTTCCCTGTAGGGTCTCTATGAGTTGAAATCAGCTCGACGACAACAGATTTTAAGCTTATTTGAACTCTACTAATTGCCTCTTGCAAGAAAGTTCCAGGAAAAGAAAGGAATTGAAGGACAAAATTACGGGGTATCTTAGGAACCTGTTAAACTAGAGTTATTTTGGAGCTAAGGCTCGTTAAGTGCATCTGAAGTGAGAGATGTTCTGGGATCTTTTTCAAGACTTACATGTCCTTTTGCCCTTCCTTGTTCTATCTCAGTTCTTAATGCAGTTCTTAGATATACTCCATTTCCCTTGCCAATTCCTGATTAGTAGGACTGTGATGGTTCTAATGAGTGATCTGGCTTAATTAGAGGTCAGTTCTCCCAGTAGATCCTTCTGCCCCTTCTGTTGTCTTCTCTTCCACCAGTGAGTCTGTCCTGAATCAGTTTTCTTTGGTCCTGACCAAGCTATCCTTTTTCTACAGACTCTATTCCACCTTTTTGGATCCTAGTTCCTGAAGAACAGAGCCAGTTTCTTCTCTGATCCCCCAAAGACTTCTCCCCTAACTTTAAGTTGGCTCACGTCTTTTTTGTTTTTGGCCTTAGCTACACTTTCCTCTTGTGTTCTTTCTGACCCAGGTTTAGTGTTATCTGATGTCTTGTGTGTAAACTGATTTTTCTTTTTGGTTCTAATCACTTTACCTGCCTGCTCTTTCTTCTGTTCTGCCTCTGGGTGGAACTTTTTTTTTTTTTTAATTGAGAAATATTGTGTAATCAATATCAAACACTTAAAATTTTCCAAATCTTGGGTTAAATGCTTTATATCAACAATGATCTCATTGATCTTAGTAACCTTATGAGGTAGGTATATTTTCTTATTGTACCAAGTAGGAAACTGAAGGTTAAGAGAGTTTTGATTTATCAAATAATAAAACTGTAAAAGATAAAGCTAAAATTTGAAACCATATCTGACTCCAGAGCCTCTTCAGCTTGAGTGTGTGTAAAGCTGGTATCTGGACTCTTGTGGATCTATGTGGTGTCTGCCATCTTAGCTCATCTAGAATAGTTGGTCATGGGATATTAAACGTACCTAGAGGCTGACAAAAATAATGTTCATCTACTGGGGTCTCTTGTTTGGGAGGAAAGCGTGCAGTATGCATTGTGTTGAGGCCTTGTATCCTTGTGCCCATCTCCCAGGCCCCTTCATGGCTGTGCTCTTTGCCAAACTTGAGAACATGCTGCAGAACTCCGTCTATGTCAACTTCCTGCTGACGGGGCTGGTGGCCCAGCTGGCCTGTCACCCCCAGCCCTTGCTCCGCTCTTTCCTGCTCAACACCAACATGGTCTTCCAGCCCAGTGTCAAGTCCCTGCTGCAGGTGTGCGATGCATGCATGCATGCATGGGTGCGTCCAGGGTCCATGATGGGCCAGGCCCATAACTGGAGTGACCCTGGGGAGGCTGGGAAAGCCTTGTGGGGCTGAAGGGACTGTGTTAGTCTGGAGCCATCCAGAAATGTCATGAAGTTGTGCTTCATAGGTGCTGGGCTCTGTGAAGAATAAAATTGAGAGCTTTGCGGCCTCCCAGGAGGACTTTCCAGCACTGCTTTCCAAAGCCAAGAAGTACCTCATTGCCCGTGGCAAGTTGGAGTGGGCTGAGGGCCCTGCAGCAGGACCAGTCTCCCGCCGCTTGGATCCCCTAGGTGAGGCCTGCTGCACCACCCCTCTCATTCCTTTCTACACAGCTAATTAGGCCATGTTAATTGAACACTTCATTAAGGGTGAAGCCTTATGCCAGGAACTGAGGTGTTGTAGAAAACTGAGCCTTGATATTTGTCCTCAGGCTCCTGGTTAGAGGATAGAACATACAGCTCTGCCACTAAGCTAATTAGCAGTACCAGCAAAAATTGCTCTCAGAGTGGGGGACAGGCAAGGATAAAGAGTAGTCTGTAGGGTTGAGGTTGTGTTACAGCTTGTAAAGGACATGATATTTGGCACGGACTTTTAGAGATGGATAGGACTTAGGTAGGCAAACGGGTGGGAGTTTTTTTTTTTTTTTTTAATATTTTGTTGAGGGGATAGCATGGGCCATTTAGTAGTTGGAGTCACTTTGGAAAGTGATGAAACAGTCGGTGGTAAGTCTAGAAAGATTTGATTAGATCAGAAGATTCTCAGAGTAGAAGGTGAGCTGGGTCGAAGTTGTATACTCTTAAACAGTGAGAAACTATTAGAAATTTTTGAATCTGGGGGTGGCAAGATGGTAAGATGAGTATGTTAGGTCATGTGCTAGGTGAATTAGAGCTGGAAGAAAATTAGAGGCAGGAAGAGCAGTCAGGAAGCTTCTGCAGTTATGCAGATAAGACCTGTAAGACTTGAGTTGGAGTAGTGGAAATAAAAAGGAAGAATTTGATAAGATGGATATGGGAAGAAAGTGTTGGCAGAATTTGATGAGTAGCTGTGTGGTATGAGGAAGAAGAAAGAACTAAATATGGATGGCCGTGAAGTTTTAAATCTAGATCTTTTATTTACCAGATATCTGAGCACTTACTATATATGCTAAGCAGTTGGTACTGGGGATTGAAGACACGATCTCTGCCTTCAAATAACTTACAATCTTTTTATCAACTAGTGGATGTAATAACTGAGGGAGCAAGGTCCCAAAAGTGGTGCAAATAATGGGATCCAGGGTACCTGTAAGGATTCGGACAGGAGAAGGGCTTGGTGAGTTTGTTTTTTTTCCACCTTTGAGATAAGTGAAGAGAGAGTATAGAAAAAATGACATGTATAGATAGAGTTGTGAGGTGTGAGGAAGGTTAGGGGATTGATATCATTCTTTATTTGCTAATCAAAGAGGCAAAAAATAATAGAGCAAGAGAACAGAGTAAGATGGGAGTTTAAGGAGAAAAGTTTATGGGTTGAATAGAGTACCACACATGAGGATCCAATGGAAATTCCTTAAAATGATTTCCTCCTAGTCCAGTACTGTGAATATTCTTGTTTCTGTAGTCCTGGTGCTGTGGTCACTGTGGAGGGCCCAGGGATACAAAGATAAATAAGTCACACTCTAAACTCATAGATTAGTACAAAAGGTTGAAGACATGTAAACAAATTATTAAAGTATGATGTGATGAGGGCAGTAACATAGGAAGTTACTGGAGAGGAAATCAGAAGAGGTTTTCCAGAGAGGCGGGGATAGTAAAATTAGGCCAGGAAGGATTTAAAAAAGTGAAGAGAGCAAAATTTAGGCAAAGTAAGTTACAGTAGTAACTTGGAGGGTGCAAGGAGAGCAGGTAGATATGAATGCAAAAGCAGAGAGGTTTGGAGAGTTTTGAGAAGAGGTTGGAGAGGGTGAGTGGAGCCTGCTTGTGAAGAGCTTTGAATGCCATGTTTAACAGATTTGTATAGCATCTCTCTGTAGCCAGTATTATTGTTGTTATTTGCCGTCGAGTCGGCCCTGACTCATAGCGACCCCTCCTTGGGTTTCCAAGGTAGTATCACTACAGAAGTAGGATTGCCCAACCTTCCTTCCGAGGAGTGGCTGGTGGGTTTGAACCATCAGCCTTCTGGTTAGCAGTCAAGTGCCTTAGGCACTATGCTACCAAAACTCCTATAGCCAGTATTAGGAGTAGGCATATAGTATTAGGGGCCATATAATGATCTGGAGGCCAGATAGTCTAGGACTTAGATAGTGGGCATGGGTCTAGAGTCAGGAATCTATACAGTTAGAAACTAGGAGAATGGGCAGAGTTTTAGATGGTGTATTTCAGTCTAGGGTGACATGAAGTTTTCTGGCCATAACTAGTGAGTGGTTGGCTTTGGTGGCTATAGGAGAGGGACTTCTAGAAGGTGAAGTGATATAGGAGAGCAGAATTTGGAGGGACAGTGGAGTATGAATGAAGTGAAATAGCCACTGAACTATGATTATGTATATAGTCCATGTGAGTATGAAAGGAGCAGAAGATGGGGGGAAGGTATTATATATAAATAGGCAGGGGGAAGGTGGAAGTAGATGACTAGTTCTGGAAGATGATGGGAGACATAAAGTGAAGGCTTATAATGGATGAAAGAGAAATATTTTAGTGGTGATAGAACAGTGATTCCTTCAGGGTGATGGGATATAGAGAAGGAAGTGATTGGGAATGAAGTAGCTGAAGTGTTCTCTGCTTGAGAAGACTGAGGAAGGAGGTTAGCTGAGTGGGGAGGCTGGACAGGCATCATTTTGGTCTTAGTATGTGAGAGAGCCCCTTCCCAGTCTATATCTTTAGATTCATCTTGAGTGATGGGATAGGAGATGATGTCTGAGAGTTGTTCTGGCCCATTTGGTCCTTTATTCCCTTCCCTCAGAACCTTAGTCAAGAAGTCCATGAACCTGGAGGGTAGGGGAATCTCCTTTCCCGGACCAGGGGAGATTCCCTGACCCCAGCGCCTCTGTGATACCTGTTTATTCCCAGTGAAGAGCCGGAGGCCATCTTTGGGGGAGTTGCTCCTGCGGCATGCACACAGTCCAACCAGGGCCCGTCAGGCGGCACAGTTGGTCCTTCAGCCCGGGCGAGATGGAGCAGGACTTGGCCTAGGTGGGGGCTCCCCTGGGGCTTCAACTCCAGTTCTACTTCCCCGGGGCGGGGCCCCCGAGCGCCAAGGTGAGGCTCTGCGTGTCAAGAATGCCGTCTACTGTGCAGTCATTTTCCCTGAGTTTCTCAAGGAATTGGCTGCCATCTCCCAAGCCCATGCTGTCACCTCGCCTTTCTTGTTGGATACTTCAGAGGAGGGATCTGGCCCTTCTGTCTCAGGCTTTGGGCCCCTCAATCCTTAACTCTCTTCCATGGACAATTAAGGCCGTGGGTGGCCTGATTGGGGCCAGGGTGCAGGCTCCTTTTTATGTTGGAGGCAGTGGCAAGAAGACTTTTTAATTTATTTCAGAAAAATTGTTTTATGGAGAACATATTGCAATATGTATAAAAGAGAAACCTCTATTCTGTGCTCATTCTTTTTTCTCACCCTTTTCTATAGGGCTGGAACCCCAAGAAAGTTGTACATGGATGGGAAGGTGGTCAGGGGTATTTTCTCTCTGGTGATGACATTGATGCAAAGTTTCAAGGTTTAACTTATGTCCTATATGCCATCTTCTTAGAGAGTGAAGGGGCATTAAACCCATGGAAAAAAGGTAGAGACTCTACCCCTCCTCCAGACCCTAGAAGGAAGAAGCAGCACAGACCCAGGATGGTTTGGGGGAGCAGCAGCTGGTGTTTATTGGGAACCAGTATCCCTATGCCAGATTTTGGGGGCCTTGCCCCCTGCATCTCTTGCCTCAGCTTCAGTCGTCGCTGTCGAACTCCGAGGACAGACCCTGCAGCAGGGGCAGGGACATGGAGTGCCGGTCGGGGTCCCCGGGGCCCCCACCCTGGGCTCCTGGTGGGGGGCTGCGGGGGCTGAAGAGCCAGTTTTCTGCCAGGGTTGGGGATACAGTCACAACTTGACTCATGCCCTGGTCTTTTGCCTCCCTAATCCCTTCCTCTGGCCTTTTGTATTACCCCCACTCTCACCCTCCCCTGGCTCCCTCCCTCCCTCCCTCCCCCTCATCAAGGTCTAGTGTATTGTCATGGGTGTCCACACATTCCTGGGCTACCTTCTACCTGTCATTTCTGTTTACCCTAGTAGTACCTGACAGCATCAGTGGTCTCCTCCGGAAGGGGTTTCGGCCCTTGTAGGAGAATCTGGGTCTGCCCTCTGGCCCTTCCTGGGGAGGTGGTGTAGGTGGGGCTGGTACAGGTTGGGGCACAGCAGCAGCTTCGGGGATATCAGCAGGGACTGATGTGGGGGCCAGAGGTGGCATGATACTGAGGTTAGGTCTGACCCAGTTGGCCCCATGGGGCAAAGGGTCCTTTGTCAGAGGCTTCTGTGGTCCCAGTACACCCTTAGGCTGCAGTGAAAACTTGAGACAGGAGAAGGCAACAGGCAGTGACCGCTGCAACCGGAGCAGCTGGGGCTCACGAGCTGTGGGCAATAACCCCAGCTGCAGCCATGTGCAGGAGAAGATCTGGTAGATGACATAGATGCTGTGGGTACTTCGGAGCCAAGGAAGAGTCTGCTGTAGGCTCACCTGCCCTGGTGGTAGCATCAGGAAGGCCACCTTCTTACGCAGACCACCCAAATGTAGGTGGATCCGGCAGGGCTGCCCATCCAACAGTCGCATCTCTTCATAGGTTATCTCTGCTTGGCCATTTGGTGAGTATTCTCTGGTACAGTGGGCAAAAACACCTTCAGAGTTTGCCTGCTCTAGAAGGCTTGGCAGTGGCCCTACTGGTTGCAGTGCCCGCCGGCCCTGGCGACCTGGCAAAGCCAGGCGGGTGTGGGCTGGGCGAGACTGTTTCACTAGCACCCCCAGTAGGTCATAGCAGGCTGCATCCGACAGGAAAGGTACTGCCACTATGCTGGGCCCAAAGCGCTCCTCGATGACCTGCAGGTGTCCAGTTTATAGATAAAAGAGACTGAGTGAGGACTAGTAGCCTACTCAAGACAGACCTTACCACTGTTCACTCACTGTTTAACTGCATCTCCACAATGTGCTTAAACTATCGTATGTCCTGCTTATCTCCCAGTTCTCTTCTGCAGCAAAATGTTGAATGTGTGCCAAGTTCTGCTAGATACTAGGAATTTATAAAAGAAGGATTCTTTGTCCTTGTCTAGCTTATCTAGTGGGGGAGAAAAAATTACTCAAATAATAGGGAGCAAGGGATGGAGAAGACAGAAGTCTTCTATTGTCTTTGTTTTTGATGGAAAGGGGACTAAAGATGGTTTCTAAGTGGTAATACTTGAGATTTGAAGGAATTAGCCAGGAAGGACAATGGTTAATCCAGACGGAAGAATCAGTGAAAACCCCTGAATTTACAAACCAAGAGGGGCAAATTCAGAAACACACAATTTCATATTACGCAAATGTAGAAAATAAAGATGGAGAGGCAGGCAGGAAGTAGATTATGAAAGGCCTTGTGCATATGCTAAGTGACTGAAATTTTACCCTGAGAGCAATGGGAAGACACTTGAAGGCTTTGGATAGGAGGGCATTACCAGGTGTTTAGGAAAGCACATTTTGAATAGTAAAGCATGAGATAAGGAGAGGTAGAGAGATTAGAGTACTGAAAACTCCAGGCAAGAGATGATTAGGATGTGAACTGAAATAATGAGTAGATACTAGAGATACTTGGGGTGTAGAATCAATAGAACTTGATTACTGAAAGAATTGGGGGAAGGGATCCTCAATGAATACTTCTAGGTGATTAGGTAGGTAGGTGATATCATTAATCAATAATAGGTACATAGAAGTACCTAGGTATGAAATCTACCTTCATACACTCTACTTACAGACCCTAAGCATACACCTGTGCTAGCTGCAAGTGTTAGAAATTTGTTATAAAAAGAAATGTGAGACCTCATCTTTGTAATGTTAGTTCTGGCATGTTTTTAGGGATTCTAGGTACCCTTGGTTTTGTCCCTCTTGTCTTGTCCTGTTTGAGTTTGATAACCCAGCTCTGGAAAGTTTACTTTGTGACCAACTGGGAAACCCTGTAAGATCCTCTCAATGACTCACTCACTCACTACCATCAAGTTGGACTGACGTATAACTTATCCTTGGGTTTCTGAGGCAGTATCACTACAGAAGTAGATTCCCTAGTTTTCCTTCCAAGGAATAGTGGGTAGTTTGAATTGCCAGCCTGCTGGTTAGCAGTCAAATACCTTAGGCACTACGCTGCCAGAGTTCCTATAATATCCTCTAGTACTGATAAAGTTTTATAGTTGACCTATTCAGGATATTGTTGGCTGAGTTTCTGGCTTTCTATTCTGCTAGGGAGCAAGGACACATAAAATTCCCCCTTTGGGCCCTTTTTATATTTAAATATAAAAAGGAAATATTGCATGCCACCAGCCACCAAATCCTACATGTCTGTGTGCTTCATGGCATTGCCCGCTTTGCTGACCTGCTAGTTGTTATGTGCTATCAAGTTGGACCCGACTCATAGCAACCCCTCCTTGGGTTTCTGAGGTGGTATCACTATGGAAGTACATTGCCCAACCTCCCTTCTGAGTGGCTGGTGGGTTTGAACCGCCAGCCTTCTGCTTAGCAGTCACTAAGGCACTATGCTACCAGAGCTGTATTTACCAATTGTTCCTTAAGGCTATTCTTTCTGCGACATAAAGTTATTTTTGAAATGCTGCCCTCTAGCTTAAGAGGAAGGTAGCTATCTGATTGAGTTGTGTCTGTACTGTGGTCAAGCTGAAGTAGCTTGGAGACTATGGTCTTTCATCACCTGGCCAAGGAAATAGATACTCTTAATCTATATGGAGGAATCTCCCTCCCTTTCCTTTTCCTTTGCTTCACTGAGACATGAAAACACTTTTATTTTGGGTGCCTAAAGAACAGAGCATTGAGTGTCCAGCTGGGTTTCCAGGGGTGAAAGCAGAGCGTCAGTGGTTTGGGCATTTTGGGATGGAATGCTCTGCCCTGTGACAGTGAAAGCATAGTCACCAAGCTGACTGTGGAAGCTTACCCTTCCTTGCTTACCCTTCCTTGCTGCTCTTTTTGTGCCTAGCCTCCAGCACAAGTCAGATAAATGGGAGTGTCTTCAGGAGAAACTCCAAACCAAACTCATTGCCATTGAGTTGATTCCGACTCATAGCTACCCAGTTTGGGTTTCCGAGGTGGTACATCTTTCCAGAAGTAGATAGCCCAGTCTTCCTTCCACAGAGAGGCTGGTGAGTTTGAACTGCCAACCTTCTGGTTAGCAGTCAAATGCCTTAGGCACTGCGCCACCAGAGCTCCTTTTCTTTAGGAGAGGGCCCTCTAAAGAGGAGTATGACATTTATAATATCTGGTGCTTATGGTCCAAGTTTCTTATAAAACCTGCTGGAGGTTCTTTTCTAGTACATAGACAGTAATTTGGCATGAAAGTTTATTAGGCCCTCCTAGAAGCTCTGGTAGCATAGTGGCTAAAGCACTTGACTGCTAACCAGAAGGCTGACGGTTCAAACCCACCAGCCACTCCTCGGAAGGAAGGTTAGGCAGTCCTACTTCCGTAGTGATACTGCCTCGGAAACCCAAGGAGGGGTCTCTATGAGTCGGGACCGACTCGGCACACAACAACAACAACAACCACCACTGAGGGCCCCGGTGGTTATTCCAAAATAGGGAAACTTGAGCTTAGTTCTTTACTTGGATGATTGTGTTCTTGCTAGAGTCACCATCTGAGACCACTACCTGCTACCATTGGGCTCAGTTCCATGAAACTTAGAGGCCTTGAAAATTTAGGTCTCCTAAGGGCAGCTCATAGTGGCTAAGACACTTGCCTGCTAACCAGATGGCTGGCGGTTCAAACCCACCAGCCACTCCTCTGAAGGAAGGTTGGGCAATCCTACTTCCATAGTGATACTGCCTCGGAAACCCAAGGAGGGGTCGCTATGAGTCGGGGCCGACTCGACGGCACATAACAACAACAACAACAAGGGCAGCTCAAGGGAGCTCTGGGGGTGTAGAGGTTAAGACATTAGTGCTACAAAAAGGTTGGTGGTTTGAACCCCCCAGCCGGCTGAGCAGGGGAAAGATGAGCAGTCTGCTTTCGTAAGATTTATAGCCTTGGAAATCAGTTCTACTCTGACCTGCAGGATTGCTATGAGTTGGAATGTCCTCCATGGCAGTGGGTTTGGAAGGCAGCCCAGGAAGGTGATGGTGGAAGTTTATCTTCCTGGATGTACCTTGTCTGGTTTGAGTTCTGAAGGGGGAGCTCGTGAGCCACATTTTGTTTATCTAGATGTTCTACAACATGCAAAATAAACTCATCAGTTGTAGACAGAGGAAACCAGATCACTGAAAGATGACCTACTCCTAGAATCTGCCAGATTCTACAGTGATTATCCTGTATTTCTCTACTCTAACCATTTGCCAATTGAATAGGATGGGGGAGTTTTTTGAAACTCGGATGGTATTGCTTGCTAATAGTTAAGTCCCATTTTCTTTCACCTGAATTCTGATCGATCTAGTCCAGGGCCAACCTTCTACACTTTTGAAACTTGTTGTTGTTGCTGTGTGCTGTCAAGTCAGCCCCGACTCATAGCGACCCCTCCTTGGGTTTCCGAGGCAGTATCACTACGGAAGTAGGATTGCCCAACCTTCCTTCCGAGGAGTGGCTGGTGGGTTTGAACCGCCAGCCCCTTTTGAAACTAGTTATGCTATACTTGGGAGAATCTTGGCTCTCCTGTTTCTGCTTCCCTGGGAACCTTTGCAGCTACCCATATGGAATGGAAGCTGCATGCCATTAAGGCTGGTTTGAGTCTGGTGGGCACTGCTTTAAGATGGTTGTATTAAGTTTTGTGGGAGCTCTGGTAGCATAGTGGCTAAGGCACTTGACTGCTAACCAGAAGGCTGGTGGTTCAAACCCACTAGCCACTCCTCGGAAGGAAGGTTGGGCAATCCTACTTCCGTAGTGATAATGCCTCGGAAACCCAAGGAGGGGTTGCTATGAGTCAGGGCTGACTCGACGGCACACAACAACAACAACAACAATTAAGTTTTGTGAGCTTGCTTCTGTGTATGCTTTAAATTTGTTCTTCAAATCACATAGCCAGAACCTGATCCCTAAATTCTCCAGCCTGAGAAATTTGCAGCCTGCAACTGACAAGTGATTGGATGGGATTTGTTGGTCTCCTGTAGCCCAGATATACCTGCGATCTCCCTGCTCCTTAAAATCTACAAATTTGACTTAAAACACAAATTTTAATTCTTTGGAAGTTAAGGTGGAGGGAATATCTGAAAAGATTGATGGTAAAGGCCAGGCTTTTTAATATGCTTAAAGGGTCTTTCACAATCACCTTCTATACCTTTTCAGCCTCATTTTCATCACCACCTCTTTGAATTCTAGCAGACTGCTTATAGTTCACAAATACACATTTTTCTTTTCCCTTTCCTGGCTTTTGTACATGCTCTACTTTTAATTAGTACATTGTTCATTCACTCTCTCTTCTGTTTATTAGCTTATTCAGGTATTTCTTAAGCACCTTTTATGTGTCTGGTATTCTTCTTATTCTTTGTGTGAGTAACTCCTACTTATCTAGTTAGGATGTATCGCTCTTCAGGAAGATTTCCTGACCTAAGACCTACCCTGCATTTAGCCCATCTCCTCTTTGGTCTCATAGCCCCCTTATTTACCCACCTTATCCTTGATGAGGGTCCAGATGGAATCAGCTTCATCCAGTGTTAGCAGCTGGGGGGTACCAACCAACATGGTGCAGTATGGGGTATGGGAGAGGTTGGGCAGGGCAATGGCTGCTGCAGGAACCCCAGGCTAACCAGAGAGGTGAGACCCTAGACCTTGGGCTCTGACCTATTGCAGCATGAGGTCATAGAGGTCTTGCTAGGTGATAGGGCTTTGGTAGGGAGAAGACAGTCACTTTCTTAGCCTTACTGTACCCACAACCTGAGTCCATACTCTTGAGTCACCTATCCATTTCACTACTTTAAGGGAGAAAAGTACTTTAGAATTGCCTGAGAGCTTTAAAAACTACTGATGCCTGGGTTCCACCCCCGGAGATTCTGATTTAATTGATCTGGGGTATGCCTGGGCATCAGGATTTATAAACACTCCCCAGGAAGCTCTAATGTGCAGTCTGGGTTGAAACTCATTATTAATGGGTGGGTTATAATTACCATGAAAACCAGGTGGTGTGTAGGGAGTTGTCATGTAGAGTGGTGACAGTGTGGAGGATAAGAATCTAATTGGGATAATGTTGCCTTAGTAACTGGAGAGAGCTTTTAGGAAGCCAGAATTACCCAGGTATATTTGAGGAAATTTTCCTTCATGTTCCACTCCTTGTCCTTAGTTGATTTGTGTCTGGGAGCTGCTCTTCCACTCCAGCCCTAATCTATGTGATTTCTCTTTATGTCTGTGTCCAGAGAGCTCAACCTGGTATTTTTCTGGAGAAGAAGAATAGTTCTTATCTGGGGAAGAACCACTCTAGAAAGCCTTTCCAGTAGCTACTTTCCCGCTCCTCCCCGTATCTGTCCAAGGAGTCCTTTCTCTGAGTTCTTCTGGAGAATCTCCTTTATGTTGAGGGAGACCTCTAATGTGCCTCCGTGCCTAGCCTAGAATATAGAGCTATCTCACAAAGTTGACAGTAGTCTAAGCTGGCTGATGTGGAATGAGTGTTGGGACACAGGGAAAGATCCTACTGTGGTGGGAAGTAGGGTGTCAAGATGTGACTGAGTGGGGAAAAAAAAAAATGTGACTGAAAGTCTTCATGGGAAGGCAGATCTCCCTAGATGGAGCCAGTAGTGTGAGTGCAGGTCTTTGAGCAAAGGTTCTACAGTGAGTGTGGGCCTATACCCTAGGAGAAGAATTAATAATATCAAATATTTGTTGAGTTCTTGTGTATTAGGGGGTGTGTCAAATACTTTGAATGCATTATTTTAGTTAATTCTTACAGTAACATCTTAAAGTAGATACTATTAACCCCATTTTAAATACAAAGAGACTGAGGCTCAGAGAGGTTAAATAAGTAGTCCAAGGCCATAGAGAGAGTTAATGGATGATCCGAGCTTCAAATCTAAGTCTGCCTGATTTCAACTTTAAACAATAGTTTTGTTTTGTTTTTTTGAGAAGGGAAGAAATATGCTCCTTCCACTAACCTTAGTGTGTGGTGAGAGGGTTGCATACTAGATAGGAAGTGAAGAGTGTTGTAGTAAAGGAAAATGGGCAGGATAGGAGGAGCCACAATGGACCACAAATCTGATCCAGAAACCCTGAGTTTCTTTTTAAGACAAGTGGAACCATGTCTCTTCCTCTTACTGCCCCATTAGCACATTTCATATCACGGTTGACGAGGAAAGACCACCTGGTATAGTATAGGTGGCACCTATATTAGTCTCCTAGGGTTGTCATAACAAAATACCATAAGCTGTGTGATAGTTAATGTTCTGTGTCACCTTGGTTAGGCTATGATCCTCAGTGGTTTGGCAGATATGGGATTGATTGCTCTTCTGTAATGTAATATGAAGAATGGATTTACTGCATTGAACACCAGTGATCAAAGATCAGATGAGTTGTGGGATGACATCAAGGATATCATAAATGAAGAAAGCAAAAGGTCATTAAAAAGACAGGAAAGGAAGAGAAGAAAAAATGTCAGAAGAGACTCAAACTTGCTCTTGAATGGAGAGTAGCTAAAGCAAATGGAAGAAATGAAGTAAAAGAGCTGAACAGAAAATATCAAAGGGCAGCTTGAGAAGGCAATTATAATGAAATCCACAAAAACCCAGAGTTAGAATATCAAAAAGGGAGAAAATGCTTGGCATTTCTCAAGCTGAAATAACTGAAGAAAAAAATCAAGCGTCGAGTAGCAATATTGAAGGGTGCTATGGGGAAAATGTGGAACAATGCTGGAAGCATCGAAAGAAGGTAGAAGGAATACACAGAGTCACTTACCAAAGAGAATTGGTCAGTGCTTAACTATTTCAGGAGGTAGCATATGATCAAGAACTGATGTTGCTGAAGGAAGAAGTTGAAACTGCACTGAAGGAATTAGCGGAAACAAGGCTCCAAGAATTGATGGAATACCCATTGAGATGTTTCAACAAATGAATGCAGCACTGGAGACACTTACTCATTTATGCCAAGAAATTTGGAAGACGCGTATTTAGCCAGCCTACTTGAAGAGATCCTTATTTGTGCCCATTCAAAAGAAAGGTGATCCAACAGAATGTGGAAATTTTTGAACAATATTGTTAATATAACATGCAAGTAAAATTTTGCTGAAGATAATTCAGAAATAGTTACAGCATTGTATTGATTGAGAACTGCTAGAAATTCAAGCCAAATTCAGAAGAGGGTGTGGAATGAGGAGTATCATTGCTGAGGTCACATGGCTTGGTTGAAAGCAAAGCATACTAGAAAAGTGTTTATCTGTGTTTTATTGACTATGCAAAGGCATTCAACTGTATGAATCATAACAGGTAATGGGTAACTTGTGCAGAATGGGAATTCCAGAACACTTTTGTGCTCAGAAGGAATCTGTAACTAAACTAAGAGGAAGTCGTTCAAACAGAGCAAAGGGATACTCTGTGGTTTATAATCAGGAAACGTGTGTGTGAGGCTTGTATCCTTTCATCATGCTTCTTTAATCTGTATGCTGAGCAAATAATCTGAGAAGGTGAAGTGTAGGAATAAGAACATGACACCAGAATTGTAGGAAGACTCATTAACAACTTGTGATATGAAGATGACACAACCGTGCTTGCTGAAAGTGAAGACTTTAAGCGCTTACTGATGGAGATCAAAGACTAAGCCTTCAGTATGGATTGCACTTCAACATAAAGAAAACATTTTCACAACTGGACCAATAAGCAACACCACAATAAATGGAGAAAAGATTGAAGCTGTCAGGGATTTCATTTTACTATAATCAGTGCCTATGAAAGTGGCAATCAAGAAACCAAACAACCTATTGCATTGGTCAAATCTACAAAACCTCTTTAAAATGGTAAAGAGCAAAGATGTAATTTTGAAGATTAAGGTGTGCCTGACCCAAGCCATGGTATTTTCAGTAGCCTTATATGCATGTGAGAACTGGACAATGAACAAGGAAAACCATAGAAGAATTGATGCATTTGAATTGTGGTGGTGGTGAAGAATATTGAATGTGCCATGGACTGTTAGTAGAACAAACAAATCTGTCTTGGAAAAAGTACAGCCAGAATGTTCCTTAGAAGTGAGAATGGCTAGACTTCATCTCTCATGTTTTGGTCATGTTTTCAGAAGGAACCAGTCCCTAGAGAAAGACATCATGCTTTGTAAAGTGAAAAAGGTGAAGACCCTTGACCAGATGGATTGACACAGTGGATGTGATGATGGCCTACGGATGGCACAGAATCAAGCAGTGTTTTGTTCTGTTGTATGTAGGGTCGCTGTGAGTCAGAACCAACTTGACAGCACCTAAAACAACAATGTATTATAATGTAACCCTCCTCCATTTTGTGATCTGATGTGAGTAGCCAATCAGTTTGAAAGCCAGTTAGTTTACTTGGGGGTTTGACTTCCATCCAATATATATGCTTGTTCTGGCAAAGCTCTTCTGCATCCAGCTTGTCATACTCTGACCTCCAATATATGGGGCATGAGCCAGCAGTTTGCTGTCTGACCTGCCCATATTGGGTTCATCGGCACCTGCAACCACGTGAGTTAAGAGAAACCTCCAGCCTGATGCTGACCCACGGATTTGGGACTGAGCAACCTCCACAACTGAGTGAGCCATTTCCTTGAAATAAATTTTTCTCTCTATATTTGTATATAAATGCTCCACTGATTTTGCTCCTTCAGAGATCCCAGACTAAGATATTTGATACTGAGAGTGGTTCTAGAGGAACAAAATCTTAAAGATGAGTTTTCTGAATTGGTTCTCAAGTCAGGCTAGACCTAAATACGTTGTTCTCTTCCAGTAGGGAAGAGAACACTGCTAAAACCATGGCATGAAGTGACAATAGAAGTATGTAAAATATAACCACCATTGGATCAAATACTTGTGAGAAACAAGGCTCTGGATAATTGTGTATTTGACACCTTCCAGCATTTCTGTCCAACTGTGAAGTATAGGGAGGCTGGTTGGTCACTCCTGCTTTCACTAGACAAAGTGGTGAAAGAAAGAGATGAGCTCAGGGCTTCAGAGTCATGGCTCAAACATTACACAGAAGACCTGAAAGTTGCCCCTTGTGCCATGAAAGAAAGCCTTATTTCTTGTAGTAATGGCTGATATTGCCAAAACTAAACCCAGAGTCTTATTCTAAGAGTGGCTAAATTATAATGCCAGTTGAATTCCCAATGTTGAATGCTGTCTGAGGTCAAAGTGAGGACATTGATTGGGAGGAAATGGGATCCTGAAACTTGGGATGAAGACATATGGGCAGATAGGAAGCTGGAGAACATTGAACCCCTAACTTTCATTGAGTGACTCCTGCCAACAGAATAACCTCTCTTACTCTCATATGAAGAGATTACTCCATATTTGTCTGGTAAGCCACCCTTCCCAATAAAACCATATGGCTTCCACCCCATCTGATGAAACTAATCCATCTGTGCCTGAAGAATGGTCTGATATCTCCTGGGGCATTGCCTGAGGTAGGTGCCATGTAAGACATTGATGAACCCCAAGACCCACCCCCACTATCCATTTTTGCTTCTAGATCTATATACTACTAGACTTAAGTCCCAGGGAGCCCCAAAAGAGGAAGTACACAGTGTGACCCGGGAGGAGGTACCAAAAACCAAAACCAAACTCACTGCTAT